ACCTTGGCAGGTGCCCTGTCTGACTCACCTTGTTGTCGGCCCTTAGGCAAATTATTTGGTTGGTGGCTCTGTGCATGCATTCTGCAAAGGGACAGACATATGATAACTTTCTGTGTGCTGGTGGACTCCGGGTATTTTTACCTTGGAAGAGAGGACTCTTGTGTGCTCCGTTTATATCTCGCTGGGAATCGCAATTAACGTCCTGTCAAATTCCTTGCAGCTGCACCAAAAACACGGACTGGAGGCGAGAGGCTCTCACCGGCTTCCTATACCGTCCGAAATCACCCCGTTCGACTCGGGGGCAGTCCATGAGTCGTTGCAAAGTGGCTTTTTTACTGCTCACGGGACAGGTTTTCCGTGTTATAACATCGATATTGCTGCAACACCACATAGGACTGGATGCGGAACGGTCCGCGGCTGCCCACATAATCGGTGGTTTAAATCCATATGCAGCTCCAGCCCGTTCGAATCGGGCTCAGTTCATCGTCCGTATTTTCAATGGTCTTTGGACTACCGCACCGAAAATAAATAATCCCCACCCTAATCAACCTCCTAGCGACATCGAACAGGACTGGGAGCGGAACGGTCCGCAGCTGCTAAATCTTGGGTGGATAGCGGTATCCAAGCAGCCCCGCCCGTTTGACTCGGGCCCAGTCCCCATAGGACAATCCGTTGACCTTTTCCCATCATAATGGAGATTCGAGTGTGGTCGTACTGGACTGGATGCGGAACGGTCCGCGACTGCTCAAAATGTGCCTTCTGTTGTATCATGCTTATGCAACTCAGCTCGTTCGACCCGGGCACGGTCCATCACTCCTTTCTTTTCCATCCTTTTGTGCCTGCCTTTGACTGCCGCCCCCGATCCTAATACCTTCCTAATCTGGATTCCAATATGGTCACGTAGGATTGGATGCGGAACGTTTCCGCAGCTGCCCAACATAAATAGTGGATGGTTTCGATGGATATGCAGTCCCGCCCGTTCGACTCGGGCGCAGTCCATATTATGTTCTTCCTCTTTTTTTCATTACTGTAGGCCTTCCAGAGCATTCTGCCTCCTAATCAACCTCCCAACAAACCCACGCAGGGCTGGATGCGGAAGGGCCCGCAGCTGCTGCAAATATTGGGCCTGTGTTGTATCCTGCTTATGCAGCTCTGTGATGGATATTCATTATTTATTTATTATTACGGACTTTTTGTAGCCCTACATTTATTCTTAGTCTACATGCACTCTCCATCACAGTATTCAGGCTGTACAGATATGAACCAGCGCCATCTTATTATTATTCTCACGGTTCAACGCTGCTTCGTGACTCAGTCCCGTATTTCTAGTGCTTGGCAGTGCAGATTGGAGTCATGTTGAGTCTTAGTGAGTCATTTGATTATGACTCATTCAGTAGTTAGCAGTATATAAGAGGGAGTGTCTCCCCTCTGTGGACACAACATCTTACCTTGTAATCAACTTATCTGAACCTACACATCTGTGTGAACCCTTAGTCGAGCAGCTAGCTCCCCTTCAATCATCTACTTTTGCTGCAACGCTGCTAAGCTTGCACCTTAACTGGATCTCATCTTCTTGGACTGTAGCTTTGCTAGACTTTGCGATACCCTCTGCTTCTGCTGTAACGTTGCTAAACTTGCAGTATAATTAGAGTCCATCTATTCTTTGCTCTCAGGTTGCTAGACTTGGAGTACATTTTAGATTTACGGTCTTGAACTTGGTGAAGCTATCTTCAAGTTCCTAACGTCTTGGTGAAATCTCGGTTTACTGATTATATAAGGGTTCTTGAACTCAAATATATTCATTCTTGGGGTATTACATTCGTGCAATACCAATTGCTCACTCATACACGTGTTACGTTTACTACCAGTAACCCGTGTAGACCCCGTTTCTCTCACAAGCTCCAGACCGTTTGACTCGGGCCCGGTCCGTGAAGAGATTCCTAACCTGTTTGGCCTGCTTTCGACCTCCAAAATAATCCCCATCCTAATCGACATTCGAGCAACACCAAACAGGATTGGACGCGGAACAGTCCGCTGCTGCTCAATATTACGTTCCTTTGGATTATGCATTTTTGTGGTGTCTTTTCCGCTGTCCAAAATAATTCCACCCACATGACTGACCTCTGAGTATACTGTCTTCTGCGTCCTCTCTTATAGATAGACACTTCAACAAATCCCACTCACCCCGCTGGGTGGATCTTCCGCCCCACGTTTCTGTAGGGAATCACAATTAACGTCCCATCAAATTCCTCACAGCTGCACCGAAAACACGGACTGGAGGTGAGCGGCTCACACCGTCATATTGGTGCAATTACAAATGACTGGGATTAGGCCTCTTCGAGGCGATTGCTGAACCTTTAAGAATTTTTGACATCTTTTCGTAGTTCATAGTCTCAGACCTCAACAATACAAGTTTAAGCTTTTATTTCAACAAACAAGGTGCAAGTTGGAATGGTTGCAGTGTCTACTTTTCACCTGACTGTCCAGCACACACATGTTGGTGATGACTCAGATGAGCAGCTATTTTCCTTAGTACAGTTTGTTAATCCCATTCAAATTTATTTTGAGCGTACAGCGCCTGGGATGGCATACTCAATATTTGAATGCCTTAGCGTAAGTATTAGCAGTTTGCAAACCCTGTGTATGGGATATTCCATCTCGCATGTGAGATGTTTAAATTTCTCATGTACAAGTTGTCCGGACTAGGACCATACAGGCAACTACAACATTGATGCTTCACCATCTAGAGAAAATACAAGAACTTGTAGCATGGCCATCAAATCTAGAAGATTTGGGGATGTTGCAGAAGGTAGCAGGGGGAGAACACATGTAGAAGATGCGAAGATTTGTGTCCTGGTAAAATCAAGACATGGTGATCAATTAGTGTCGCAAACAAGACTTTATACACCGTGCTCAGAGGACGATCGTTTTGAGGATCTACAGTATATTGAGTTTGGCCTTTGAGGAGGGATGCCTTGGTGAAGCGTCCGAGGGAAGATGCTGAGTTTGAAATTGAAAAACTTGAACTGAGTGCAGCAACTTTTAAGTTCACCGGGCTGGGAGCCAGGAATCAAGGGGATGGGTATTCAGACCTTTGAGAACAGGCTGATAAATTCCAGGGAGGCACATAGCCATCCTGTCCATTAAAAATGTGGTCGGCCATCACCGATACTCATCCGGAATTGAATCCGCGGCCGGAAGTCTCCGAACGTCGGATAATATCCCGAACATAAAGCAGAAATGACTAATCACATAATCTTGAGCTCAAAGAATTTATTTTGTTCCAGGGTATGGAACGGGCTCGCACATGAGAATTCAAGCCGGTAAGAAACTGAAGAACATATCCTTACATTCCGATTTATTTCTATGTCTTGCCCCATTTTCTTTCGGTTCTATTTTCGCGATGACCAATTTTGTCTGACTAAATTTTGTTTGTACATATAGTAAAATGGCCCGAAACCCGTCTTCTCCTGGGTAGCCAAACCTAAAGGTTCGGCAATAACGCACCCCGTTCGATTCGGGGGCAGTCCATGAATCAATGAAATGGTTTTTTACTACCCGCGGGACAGGTTTTCCGTGCCATGCAATCGACGTTGCAATATATTACTAACGCCAGGAAGGATGGGATGTGCACCAATCCGCAGCTGCCAAATTTGCTATGCTTCTTGCCCTGCGACTCCATCGACCGTATTTTCAATGCTCTTTTGACTGCCGCACCAAAAATAAATAATCCCCACCCTAATCAACCTAACCTCCCAGCGACACCAAACAGGATTGGGAGCGGAACGGTCCGCAGCTTCTAAATCTTGGGTGTATAGCGGTATCCAAGCAGCCCCGCCCGTTCGACTCGGGCCCAGTGCATTGTAATGTCGCTCTGTCCTTTTTTTCATCTGCCTTAGACTGTAGGCCTCTCAAGAATAATCGGGTTTAAAATATTGTTTACTCAAGTCTAATTGACGAGGCGAGTCTCAACGCGTATGCCCCGCCATACCAAGACTTACCCGAGCGTTCCCACCGTCAGGTCGTAAGCGGAACGCGGGACAATACCCACCCCTCGGGTCGCAAGCGGTATTGTCTTACCGGGTAAGCATTTCTTTGTCTCTGCGACACACATTGACCTCCGCCCAGTGGCCGGAAGCGAGGATAAGTCAAGCTCAGTCCAAGCGCAACACTTTGACCCTGCACGGATCGTACTTAGACCTGGCAGGCAGAGTGGATAGCTCCTCAGCTTCTCACTCTGTCTCGTCAGGTATGGACTCTTCTCTCCTGTTTATCTTACCTACAGTCTCACTCTGTCTCGTCAGCGCTGTTTTCTTGCTCTCCCACCCTTATATTACATATATACCCACACCTAGTTTACTTCCTCGATACCGACTTGTTGTACTCGCCCCATCTCGGCATCTCGCACCGTCTCCAATAGACTCCCGAGCCCCTCCGGGGCTGTTATCCGCTAAACTTCGAGCCCCGCACGAACTTCGACTGAACGACAACAATTAGGCCCTCTCACGCTTTTTGTGGTGTCTTTTCTGCCGTCCAAAATAATTCCAGCCTCTCTCATAGATATACACTTCAACACCGGAAACACGGACTGGAGGCGAGAGGCTTGGACCACCGGGGTCCCATGACATATGAAGCAATTAATGCACCCTGTTCGATCCGGGGGCAGTCCATGAATCGTTGCAAAGTGGCTTTTTACTCCCCACAGCAAAATGGCAAAAAGTCCTGTGGTGTGACCTGTTTGTCTGGTTTTGGAAAAAATAATAATCACAGAAATGATCCCTAGAACGCAACCGGATGGGCCAGAAATAAATAAATTTTGAAGTCTGATGCAATTTCAGACACAGCCTGGGGTCTGGTGGTGTTTAGACCTGTACAGGCTCCTACAAGCACGTGCAAGCAAATTGCCCAAAAAACGCGATGCGTGGGACAGGTCTTCTGTGCCATGCAATCGACACTGTAATACCCTGGATTCCACTCAGGCAGATCGTAGCTTCCTTCAGGGCCGTCTAGCTCAGTTGGTTAGAGCGTCGTGCTAATACGGGCATAAAGCCTCGGATACGCGAAGGTCTTGGGTTCGATCCCCACGATGGCCATGAAGGGTGTGTTTTTTTCCTTACTGCTTCTTTTCTTCCAACCTCGGGCTTGATTCTCCCATTTTATCCCACCATCACCGAAAAGAGAAAACCCGTCAACGAAGCGTACACATGGCATTACGAGTACTTATGTAATAAGTTCTCATTCTTTTCTAAAAGTTTACATGGCCATTTCCTTAGCTCCGTGAATTATCAGTTACGATTTTATAATACAACGAAAATAGTGGCTGTGTTGAAGTATTTTTTAAAGGTTTCATTACATTTTTTGTGACAAGTTAGTGGCTGTGTTACCGGCCAATGCCGAGCGTGCTGCTAACGCCCACAGGCGTTGGTTCGAACCCGGGCTTTGGACTCCTTTTCCGGTGGTCTTTTTAGTTTTTCAAGCAGCCAATGCATATCACCTCGCTGGGTCCAGTATATACCTCCAAAATTGTCTTTGTCAAATGTCTGATCAATGATTGAACAGTGCAAATGTTCAATGCTTTCGGTCAATTCTTCCACAGGTACAAGGGCCTCAAATTTCGACAGAAACACTGTAGCAAACCTTGAGATGATTCCAAGTACAATCTAGAAACAAAATTCCCCGGAAATGTTGAACTGTCAGAAACTTTCGACCTTTTCAAACCGCTGCCAGTTTGAGAAATGGCCTGGTGATGTGCGAGTTTCTATCAACCATGTGATTCTAGGCCCCATCCTGGCTTGCAATCAAACATTTACTAGTGGAATCCAAGCCTGGATGTTCTCTGTTGTTTTGTTCTTGCTGCCAGATTTTGCATTGCGGGTCATATCCACCTACTACTGTCTTCAATACCCAGGTCCACTGAGGAGGAAAGGACCTAGACGTTGAATACTTTTCAGCCAAGTACCCAACTTGAAATGTACCTTTGATCTGCTGCAGCCACCTATCTGACTCAATTACAAGTTAGCACCTCCTAATTTTCCTTGGAAGTTTTTGGGAGCAACATTTGTTTACCCTGACTACACCTGCGTTGGAAATGGGATCCACCACCAAGCTTATGATTGCCGAGTCCTCTTTCCTTTTTTGAGTGGATATTGCTGGTGAATTATGTACTTGAAGGTCCCTTGGTGTGCCATGCAGATTTCAAAACTGAGATTTTTGGAAACTTCCGATCACATGGATATATTTTAAAAAAAAAATAAGTATGAGTTTTGCCGGGCTATGCCACGGCCCACACCCCAAGTCGACTGGTGAACTGCAATACACCCTCCCTGTAGAGCACACAGAGCTCATCAGGAAGAGAGATATGACACAAGTTCTATGTCTCACCTTCCTCAGGCTCTCTCTTGAGCCAGGAGAGCATGGAGAAGACAATTTGTCACGAAGAACAAAGAGACCACCTCCAAGCGCATCCCGGAACAAATTGGGCCACAAGCCCATCGTTCAGGGTGTATTGGACAGCATGCATGGTGTCTCGGATACTCCACAATTGTCTCCTAATGGGTTTGGAAAATCTCGGGACTGCCTCGGCGAGTATACCTCACCTTTGTCACTGTGTCACTTCACTTATTTCTGTGAAGCTTTGTCACTTTGATGAATTGACTTGAAAGTTCGTCACTCCGGTGAGTTTCTGAGAATACTTGTCACTTCAGTGAAATTTTACAAGTCCCTCTTCAACATTTTTTTTACAATATCCCTGGGACTAACCCTAACCAAACCGAACCCTAACCAAACCACTGAACCCTAACCAAACCCTAACCGAACCTAACCCCCCACGCAAAGTGGATACAGAGTTCCGCCCCTGCCGAGCTTCAGCTGTAGACAGGAATCTATCAATAGGACACAGAGTAAGTAACGAGAAGTTCTACTAAATTCAGGTGAAGTGACAAACTTTCACAGAATGCGATCAAAGTCACAAACTTCCGCAGTTAAGCGAAGTGACGCAGTGACGAAGATGGCGTGGACTTTGCCTCGGCAGGACCTGAACCAGATTGCAGGTAGTGATGTTCTTTCTAGCTTTGGCCTCAGGCCAAAAAGCCAAGGCTTTTTGGCTCAGCTTTGGCTTTTCCTGGCTTTGGCTTGAGCAGGCCTTGGCCTGGCCTGTAATTTTGCTAGGCCAAAGCCAGAAATTTGCATCAAATTCAGGCCAAAGCCAGGCCAAGCAAGAGTTTGGCTTTTGGCATGGCTCAGAGTTTTTCAAGCCAAAGCCAAGGATCTCAGGCCAAGCCAAAGCCAGACCATCACTAAAGTCTGCAGGTCGAAATCTGTTCTCTCCTATTCCGTCACATTTCTCTTGCACCTCTGAAACTGAATCAACCATTGCTTAGACTGCTCCGGAATCGCTTGTCATCGCTGTCTAACCCTGTATCTCCACATTTGGTAGTAAGGTAAATAGGCTATCACAGCGACTCGGCCGTTGATGGCTGTAGCATACATTTGACACTGTGTATGTTGGTACAGCACCTGCTTGTTCCTTATTGGGACCTCTGCAGTAATACATCCTCCTCCTCCTCCTCCACACTCTGCGAGTAACTTGCTCTGGACAAATAATATACTCTCAGGCAGTGATACGTGGGCACAAAGACCACCGGCACCCCGAGCGAGACTCGATTAGTGTCGAAGCGGTGAACTCGGTGCAGATGACAAACAGGTAGATTCTAGCCAAAGAGACACTGTATATTGCGCCAAGCTCACAAGCTGCATGTCAAACTTTATATCTTTGCGCATGGTGCCGTACAGCGTAGGGCTCCGGGCCGTCCGTCAGACGGGGACGGCCGTCACGAAAACGGCCGTCAAAACCGAGCTTGAACTCTTTGACGGCCGGGTCCCGGCCGTCGCACCCGTTACGGCCGTCGCCGGGTCCAAGTTCCACACATCATATATTGGGCGTGTATCAAGGAGAGTCTGACTATCTATGTGGGTTTATTAGCATCTCTAACAGCTCTGACATACATTCTGAGGCTTCAGTTTATCCACAGGCCCTCCATACACCTTTTCAATGGAAATGTTGAAGATCAATCCCATTCGGTCGATGCCGAAAGAATTGATGTGGGTCCTCGGGGGAAGAAACGTAAAGGAAAAAGAAGGTTATGAACGTTGGATCAAATCCTGAGGTATACCGTGTGTATAGAGGATGTAAATAATCACCATTTCCATCACATTTGAGGGAAAACTGCACGATGTTTATGGAGGACCCGTCGACCCGTCGACGGCCGGCAACGGATAACCGTCAACGGGTCAATCTCAGATCTCTGACGGACGGGTCCCGTCCCGTCCGGCCGGCCCGTCAACCCGTCACCTTCGACGGACGGTCTGGAGCCCTAGTACAGCGAGCGGCGTGTCTTAGATCGGTCGGATAAGACACTCTCATCTATACCTTACCGGGCCTACGAACATGAAAAGCACTGAAAACTGAACAACAGAGCATGGATACACGTTGGAGACTGCAGCACACGATGGACTACACGTTCCTCGAGGTTTCCGCCATGTCCTGCTCCCTGGTCGTTCTGAGGTTCATGACCTGTGAAGCGTCAGCATCGGCAGCTCTTCAGTCACCGCGGCTGGATGAATTATGCTCAGAGCGCACCAACAATAAGCCACTCATATGATACTCCTGGAACAATGCCTTCAGCGGGGAGAGCATTCCAACATTCACCTCGTCGTCCAGGTCTGCGGAATATTCGACAAGACCCGCGATGCTCCCACATTGTTTGTACGTTTGCCCGTCATCTCCTGAGATGTCTATGTATAATATATGTATAATAATATACCACCACAGGGACTTGGCCGTGGACGACGGTAGCGTACATAGACACCGTGTACGTCGCAGTGCCTGCTTGTTCCTGATTGGGACCTCTGCAGTAATATACCCTCCTCCTAGATGCGCACTGCCCCGCGGCGTCTCTCTTCTTCCTTCCTTGCGGCGCCCGTTCGACTCGGGCCCAGTGCATTGTAACGTCGCTCTGTCCTTTTGTTCATCTGCCTTAGACTGTAGGCCTCTCACACCAAGTCCTCTCACGCTTTTTGTGGTGTCTCTTGAGTCTTCTGCCGTCCGAAATAACTCCAGCCTCTCTCATAGATATACACTTCAAGACCGAAACCACGGACCGCTGGCACCGTCATATTGGCGCAATAACAAATAACGATAACGCACGCGGCACCCCGTGCGCTTCGGGGGCGGGGCCCGGGGGCCAGATGAAATGGTTTTTTTCTGCGTGGGATAGCACTCGACGTTGCAATACCCTGGACGCGCACCGGTCCGCAGCGCCCCATGTGTCTCTTCTTAAGATCTTCGCATGGGGGCATCCAATGCATCTAGATTATATTATTTGTCGCCGTGTGCCTCACTCAGATCTCAGACTTGTCGCAGGTCCGGTGGAACTCGATGACATCGTGCGCTCATTCATTCATTCATTCATTCATTCATTCATTATACCAGAGATCCAAGATCTGCGCCACCTCCTCCTCCTCCTCCCCCGTCAGAACGAATTCAGCTATCCCAAAAAGGGACCGCAACATGGATGGTATCGCATAGTACAATCAAGGAATAACGATACGAATAGGTAGACTCGGCTCGGCAAAATACTTAAAACGCGACTCGACTGGGGGCCGACGACGGACCACGCAACGCAAAGCTGCAAAAATGAAAAGAACAACACACCCCCCACGCCTAGCCTACTCCCGCCCCTCTTTGTCCCCATCCCGCCTTTCCCTTTCGTCGTCGTCCCGCGCGTCCCGGCCGTCACGCTCGCGCTCCCGCTCCCGCTCCCGAGTCTGATTGTCGCGCGGACTCGGCGCCGCCGGCGCCGGCGGGACGGGCGTGCCCGGGTGGCTCGCACTCGCACTCGCGCGGTCGCCGTGGTTTTGGCTTTGGCTTTGGTTTTGATTCTGATTCTGACTGGCGCCCTGTTCCTGACCCGCGCCCGCGCCCGCTTGTTGGCCGGAGGCCCGATAGTGATTCTGATTCTGATTGTGTCCGTTCCCGTTCCCGTTGTGCGAATTGGGATTAGGATGGGGAGCGAGCGGCGGGAGATAGGGCGAG